CCCCAAAACCCCAAAACCCCAAAACCCCAAAACCCCAAAACCCCAAAACCCCTTCCTTGGCTTGAACATTTGAATTACACTAAATTATGCAAATATGTAGGAGGGAAAGACCTTCCTTGTTGCTCCACAGCATTATAGAGATACAGACCATAGAAAGGTCTGCCCATCTTTGTCACGATTTTGAGCATTTCTTGGGCAAGATGCCCTCCTAATACAGACTGAACGGGATGAAACTCAGGAGTAATATAGCTCTCTTTAATATCACCGAGGTACTTTTCTAAGTCTGATGTTTCTTCCAGTAAAGCTCCCTTGTTGTTCTTCTCAAATATATCAATGACCTGGGATTTTGCATCTGAAAGATCTATCCCTTGGCTTTCAGAAATGAATGTAATGAGCAAGGCAACAATAAAATCTTCTTTGGCCTTCTTTTTGACTCTGACTCTTGAGAGGAGTTTTGGAGTGAACTTATCAAAGCTAAGCCAGTGCTCCATCCAATCTTTAATGGGCTTGGAATCATTGTATATAGTCGTCTTTGTCTACAATTTAGTGAGAACCCTTACCATATCTTTGTTGTCTATCTTTAAAGTTTCAGTGAAACTATAAGAAGATCCAAGATGACAGAAACTGACTCCGACTGCTCCATAGCTTTTCGCTAGTACAATTGGCACTTCCAAATCTATTTTTATGAATTAGGACTTACCTGTTGGAAGATCTTTAGTCTCACTAAAATTGTTGTATCCAAGTATTATGGCTGAATACTCCTCTAAATTCTTAACTGCTCCAAGATTGTCTCCTTCAATGACGCTGATCTTTGCAAACTGAGTGATCTTATCTAAGGATTGCTTAAAAGCTTCTGAGATCTAGGATTCAAAACAGAAATTACCTTCATTCCTTCTTGTTCTTCATTGATGAGGTAGTGAATGCTCATTTGACGCTCAAGCTCCTCTTTGCTCTCAAGCATTCTATCATCAAGGATATCAATCATCACTCCTTTGAGAGCAAGATGTCTGAGAGATTCTGACACAGATCCACTTACAAGATTGGCAACGAGTACTTTTGAATTTTTAAGTCTAAAAATTGTGAATATTATCTCTGTAAAGACAAGATTTTAAGAAAGGGAGCTAGATTTGCCATGAAATAGCTAAGTTTCTTACTTCTCCTGTGCAGCATGTCCCCATACTCTGATCTGGCGATCATAAATTGTCTTCTCATCATGTGTGAGTTCCTGATTTGTTTCCATATTTTATAAATTTCAGTATATTTCCAAATTTAAGGGGTTTTGGGGTTTTGGGGTTTTGGGGTTTTGGGGTTTTGGGG